AAATTCGTGGTCACGGGAAGTTTTGAGCTGAAATAAAAATCCATCCAATGTGAGCATGTTCCTAGTGTGAAGATTAAAATTCCTTAGGACCACAACAAAAATTCAAAACCACTCAAGAATCAACCAGTTCTGACGTGAAAAAAGAAAATGCACGAGGGGCTCCAAGTTTTTACTTCTCCTCAAATGCAGTTTGATTAAACAATGAACGTAGATCAACACTCTTGCATTGCAATGAAAATTTAAATCAAAACATTAATTTATTACCATTGAGTCATCTTTAGGATGAATTTTTGACATCAATCAACTTACGATGACTTTTGCCGAACGAATTGAAGCCACTCAAGATTTGTTTACTTCAGATGTAAAAAAGGTGAACGCGTAGGGAACCCCAAGGCTATACTTTTCTTGAAATTCTGATTGATTAAAATATGCGCGCATCGCGTCAGTCCTGTAAGAAAGAGATGGGTACGTTGTATTTCACAATATTACAAGCGGTTTATTACTTGTGCTTCACATTACGCGCTCATTAGCAAACATTCCATACAGTTAATTTTTCAATTACTCCTAGAAAATAATGACGAGTAGAGGTGTCGTCAGATAAGTTGACATTTGTTAACTTCCGATTTGCAGGCGCAGGCAACAAATTTACGCCTTTGCACAAAACGTACATTAGTCTTATGATCGTATCGTAGAAAAACTACCTATCAGTTATGATCCGCGACTTTTATGTGATTGTGATTTCTGTGTGGCTAAAAATTAAAGTGTTACAAGGTTTGAAAGTATTAAATATCCTATCCAAGCTTGTGTTCTCGGTTCTGCGGGAGTCGGGTGTTTTCATGTGATTAGTTGTGACGCGAAAACGCCTGCAAATCGAAAGTAAGGAATTGTCAACTTATCTGACGCGACACCTCTAAACGAAAAAAATTAAATACACGACATCTATGAAAAAATTCACCTGATTAAACATCCTAAACCAAAAGTTCGATTTTATCAAAAGTGAAATAACCCTCCAATGAATGTAGCCCTTATTACGAATAAATACAATAAAGTCCTCGTACAAATGTGCTGTCAATTTTTATGCCACGTTGAGCAATTTTAAGTGAGTGCAGTTTTCTCCCGAAAAGTTGTGTCATTTTGAACGTCTTTGATGACAAAGCTAATACACTAGATTAAAATTCACACTAAATTAATTTAGTTACTTTCGGAACGAGGCAGGAGATCCACCATTTTGATTTTTTTATTCACTTTGGATGCTAGAGGTCAGATCGCAGCTCGAACGTCGCTCTTTAAAAGGGCGTAACCTTTTAATGTGTGGACTCTACTTTCGCGATACCTACTACCGGACTGGCAATTGGACCACATTTTGCAATTTGGACTACAGTTCCTGGCTTGGTTTAGGAATAACCTATGTGCCATTAGTTCCTTCTGCATATACGTGTTTTTACAGATGAGTCAAAAATTGTAGTTCCTAATTGTGGTCTAATTATCATCTAAATGCTCCCGCCCGAACAAAATAAGTGTCAAAAAAAAACTACTCACTTGTTATTAACAAATGGCTCCGCCCAACGAGTAATTTTCCCGTTCTGCCTGTAAATCACCATAACGTACCGATGAACGTCTGCATCAAAAGAAAATAAAGACACCTCATAAAATGTTGACAACTTTCATGAAAAAGAGGAGTAGCGGTTATGAATGGAGCTCTCGCATGTGTGAGGAATTTGCGATTCAAATATTGATTCCTCACAGAAAAAATCGGGTTTATAGGGTGTATCACAAAACAGGAGGGTCTCATAAGAACTATGGAGGCTTTTGTTTCACCACATACCTTTGTTTTATAGCAGAGAAAAATTGATTCCTGATTTAATAACTAAACTGTTAAAAGAATATGTTCGACGTGTTTCAAATGTATATTTCACAACAGTGGGCGCAGCTAATTTAACCATCCTGTGGTTAATTTAGCTTTTTTTTTTTTTTTTTTTTTTTTTTTTTTTTTTTTTTTTATTGTAAAATCTACATTGAGACATGTCAAGCACTTTTTAACTAAAAAATTATTGAATTAGCAATTTCATTTTTTCCCGTGTAGCCGAAATTTTGCTCCTGGTGGAATGGCAAACCATGTTCTACCCAGTATTAGTGGAGAACAGCATCAGCCAATCTCTAGTCTTTATATTTGTAGCACATTTAGTGCTCACCAGAAATACATATGTAAGCTCCGTACTCTTATAGGATGCCTGTCATTCTTGATGCATGTTGCAGCGCCCTCAATTTCGCTTGATACTGTGCATTGTGCAATATCACTGTTGTGAAATAGTTGCTTGAGGCGCCGCGCCGTAGCATTGCAATGCGACGATAATGGAAGGTAAAAATCTAAGTAGCTTCCGCGCTGGTCTTTTAGATGTTTGCACAACTGTCGCTCAAACTTGCAAATCAGTCTTTCCTTTTCACCCAGGCTCCGAATGTTACGTGACAAGGGAATCCCATTAAGGCAAAATTGTAGTTTCGAAAACGCCTTCAACTGAGGCGTGATACCGCACGCATTCCGGAGAGTTCAAATAGTTGTATCCTTGCGCCTTAGCAATGCGACGAAAGGTAATCATGTAAGTAGCTCCCCTGCTGGTCTTTTTGGCTTTCATTTGCCGCCACTGCAGTTTTGACCGCATAGTTTAAGGGCTCAGGAGGCAGGATTGCGTTTAGGAAATAAATACTTTTTACAGTAGAATTAAAAATAGAGAATCGGTTGGAATTTAACTAAAGAATAGGAACTCAAATCAACAAAAACATCCAAACAAGGAAGGTAAAGAATAACTTTGAAAAGCTTAAAGTAGAGCGAAATCACATCCGAGCCAATTTCGATTTCAATATAAACTGGAATGAAAACAACGTACAAATTGTTAAAATTAGATGTTTGCACAACTGTCGCTCAAACTTGCAAATCAGTCATTCCTTTTCACCCAGGCTCCGAATGTTACGTGACAAGGGAATCCCGTTAAAGCAAAATTGTAGTTTCGAAAACGCCTTCAACTCAGGCGTGATAGCATTCCGGCGTGACGCATTCCGGAGAGTTCAAATAGTTGTATCCTTGCGCCGCGACACACTGCGGCACGGCTCGGCGCAGCGATCGGCCGGCCAGCATTGCGCAATGCGTGAAGTATCCTCGTAGGTTTGTAGGCGCCAGTGGCTGTTTTGCTCTTGAAGTACGCCGCGCCGCGCCGCTCCGCTCTGTGTTAAGCTCTAATATTTGAACTCGCGGAGTAAGTGTGTTTTAATTCCTGACTGTGAAATGTTTGCACACTCTGCATGGATTATTCTCATTTAAATTGATGAAAAAAAGTGAGAAGATAAAAAACTTATTCTTAAATAACTAAGGACTCAAAAAGCCGATTGCAGACAGATTTTTTTATATTTGCTGTAAAATCACCTACCTCCTTTTTCGAAAAGTTTGAGACCGTAATAATCGTAAAAAGTCGTTCCTGCAGTCAAGCTTTTTTCTGGAATATTCCCGATCATCCAATGGACAAAGCTACGCAAGTGTGGGTGAACTCTCAATGGAGCATCGTAGTCTGAAATTGAAGAAGAGTCGTGTCTTATACGTACACTTGTGTTTTGAGTGTTACTTCATCTAAGGCCATCGGTTGTAAATAAGTCAATTTTAAAGAATGACGATAAAGTTCAATGCCTTTTTTTATTTTTCGTCCTATGATGGGGCTTTGGTCGTCCGACACAAAAATTCAAAGTTCAATGGCTGAAAATGTATATTCAAAAAGGGAAATGTTTTTGCGTAAGTTTCATTTGACCAGTGTGTTTGATTATGCAAGAAAGTTGTATTTACGTAATCTCGCGCATTGCACAAGAGGCCAGATCTATAAAAACGACCTCTGTCTTCAGGAGAAAGTTTTCTTTAACTATTTGCAAACACTTAAACACGTTTCTCCACAACCTAGCAGCTTTTGTCTGAGAGCTTCAGGATTAATACCTCTTTCAGTTTTTGAAATCTTAGGATTCAATTTGCGCCTAAAAGCACAAAACTGTATTCTTCCACCATGCGTTTGCAAAACGTCAAGGAAGATCTTCTCCTGGGAGACGTGGTCCGTTTTCACAGATCAGGTCTCATGAAGGTTTTGACTGAAACGGAGGCATTTAAGGGAACGTGGAGGTATTTAACTTCCGTTATTTTTCTTTTTTTAAGAAGTTAAACCATCGAAATATTTGCTGTGTGAAAAGTGACATCATTCAAAATAAAGTTGTGATTAAAGTCGTAATAACGCAGAAAGACACGTCAAAAAGTAAATCTCCTTTCAGCATTTATTTTTTTATTCACACAATGTGTTACTCCGTTCCCTATCTTCTATTTTTAGGTCCAGTTACACGATCAAATTGAGCCATCAAATTGGGCCTCTCATTGGTTGCATCCTCACCTCAGGTCTTTTTCCACCACTCAGAGCTTCAGTTTGATGGCTCAATTTGATCGTGTAACTAGACCTTTAGGTATTCACTTGCGTCACCTATCATGATTAATCCACGTGTAGTGATGTTAATTGGATATGCATCTCAAATTTTCATTCTATTTTGTGTCTAAGAACTTTTAATACATGAAAACTAGGTGGAGGTGAACAAATAAAAACTTTAAGCAGAAAACTAGTTACCATAAAGCACGAGTGTGTAGTAATAATCTAGGTCTGCATCCCAAATGACATTTGTTGGCTTCTCGTACACTTTTTCTATGTCTACCTTATCCCCTGCCTTGACCATATATTTCCCATGGTCCCATTGAAGCTGAAACATTACCAAAGATACCTATTAAATTACCGGCTGACATGTACTTGAATGGTTGCATGATCGATTTCACACACTCTCTTACACCAGTCCTTAAGTTGCAGGGGTGAAAGCCAAAGGAGCTTATACTTGAGTTGTATCATCGCAATTTCATTTGAAATTGTATTTTTTTTTTTTTTTTTTTTTTGCTCAAAAAAGGAAAAAAAAATTTCCCGGTTCTCTTGTGAAAACATAGCCGGGCGAGAGAAACAGCGTTTGCTGATTGGCTGATCTCAGATTCCGACATCGCTTTTGATGCGTCAACTCGACTGTCGGCTTTTGATTCATAGGATTTTGATAGCTATTTTACTCCTTAAAGACGACTTTTTCAACCAATAGTGAAATATTTGGGTTTTCTCACGGAATTTTATATGAATAAAATTATAACCCAACCCTCCGAAAATGTCTTGCCACTGCCCAAATAGAGAGTGAACGAGAAAAATTTGATAGTCTAAGTAAATTTTTGATTCTATCGGTTGGGAGAGTAATGTGGTAACTAACAAGATCAGTAGTAACAAATAGTAATATAAATTACGAAAAAAATGTAAAGTTACCTACTTCGATTGTATTTTCTAGTGGCTTATCAAAGATTTCTTTAAAGTTTTGCGTCTCCAATTTTTCCTCTAAATCCTTCAATACAACAGTTTTTTCTAATGTTTGAGCACAATTAAATGAGAGATGGTAGACTATAATCATTAAACTTCCTACTAAGAAATACCTATACAGCATAAAACTACGCAAAGGATCGAGCAGTTTTTCCATTTTTAACTGGTTTACTATCTATGGTTTCACCTGCAAAATGAAAGAGAAACAAATAAAAATGTAGTCCTTCATGAAGAGAGTGGGCTTTAATTCAATGAATATCACAGCGCTTCGACGTTGAGAGGAGAAAATTTTAATTTTTTTAGTACGTCTCTTGCTCTCCTTTGTTTCAAAGATCGGTATCTGGACAGGCCAACCGCTCTTATATTCTTAAATAAATACCAGCTAGACATCTTCACGCTTGTTATTTGCTTTATTTTTATAGATTTTCAAAAATCATCAGAGAAATTATTGTGCGGATAATAATTCGGTATCTAAATAATAAAACTATATATACTTTCAACCCACATGACGCAAAAATTGAGTTAAAATGTGAAGAAGGGAAGAGATCTTTTAATAAATATAAGTAAAATAGACTGACCTATCATTTGCTTTTGTGTAGTCGCAGGCAAAAAATCAAAACGCACGAGGAGCAAAAGTTTGCTACGATAAAGCAATCGCAGAACCATCAAATACCCAATCAATCATCAAAATGGAAGAACTGTCCAACTACTGTCTGTTCACAATGTGTACATTTCATAGGATGAATGTGACTACAACTGCGTGTGTATGGTTTTTTTTTTTTTTTTTTTTTTTTTTTTAGGACGAACATTTTGTTTTTATAATGTCACGAGGGATCAAAGCCCAAGTGAATGACTTTCGAACAAGGAGAAAATTAGAATAGAACGAAAATGAAGAAATGAAATGAAAGAATAAACGTTGGAAAAAACGAATAAATTAGATAGTAAGATTTATTTTTAGGTTTTTAAACGTGCAACTTACTTTTTTGGAATGCTGCGTGTAAGAGATTGTCACAAATGAAATGTCAATCGCGTCGGGTCATACAGCATCTGTGTTTTATCATCTAATCCTTCCACTCGTGAAGTTTAATTGTTTTTTTTTAGTCCAACATTCTCCGTTATGCCAAATTTCTCCAAAATGTCAAACCTTCTTACGTTCTGCGCTGAAGTTCATTATTTTGTTTTATCTCACCTCAAATGATTGCATTATAGTTGCGTCCTTTTATGAGAAGAGCAATGTACCTGAATACTCAGCTGTTGTCCAGAAAAGGGGCAGGATTAAACCACTCTGCAAAGTTATATGATTGTGTTTATATAGGTGTCAGATATAAATTACTTTTAGAGGATGCTGTTGTCACTCTTCATCATATTTCAGCTTTATCATTGGTATCAAATGTACTATTGGGCCATGCTTGCGAATCGATGTGATGCGAGACGGGCTCCATGGTTGGAGTAGTTTACCATGTTCCAAAGTTCAGAAGTGTCGATAATACATATTTTAACACAATTATTTCCGATTAATTGTGAATCTCATACGTTTGTTATTGCATCTTAGTATATTTGACTTTAATACCTTCTAAGTTAAAGTTTTTAATAATTATGGTCATTCCCCACTCTGATTGGTCATTTACAAAAATGTATAGCAAAAATTGTCAAAATTATTGCAGCTCAGCATCAAATAGATAATCAAGCTAAGAATAGTCGTGTGAATGGTAAGTAACAGTTTAAAGCCCGCAAATTCATATCAAGTGATTTAAATCTTAAAAATCGTAATCTCATCAACATTTTGTGATTGTCATACATATTTTACTCACTGCCATGTAAATTAATGTTTGGATCCAGATTCATTTTAGAAAAAGAAAAATAAGAAAAAAACCCTCCACTTTCTCCCCGTGGAAATTGAACAAAAAAATAGACAGAAATGGAAATATAGCTAAAATTTTAACAAAAATTTGATTTTATTTTGCAATTGGGGAGTACGATTTCTGGCTTATCCGTGATAACACTTATGTGCATAGGGAAACTAATGATACATGCGTTCTTCTAACAGTAAGAAAACAGGGGGAAAAAACGGGATATGAGGCTAAAGTACACAATAAAATCCCCCCCCCCTTGTTTTTCTACTGTTACCATTGTCTCAGGCTGCTCTATAAAAATTCGTTGCTTCTAAACTGGGCTAGAAATTGTAGTTCCTAACTGCAAAATGGAGTCCAGTTGGGACTCCCTATTCCATTGCATTTGCTGAACATGACTATTAAACTATAGGAGCCACGTACCGTAGATTCGTCAATTTGATTTTCATTTACTTCTTTGAAGAATGACTTGTCGTGTTTATTATACACAATTTCGTGTGATTGTCCGATACTATTTTACAAGAATGCTCTCAAGACATACCTACAAAAATAATTGACAATGCTATCTTGTCAAAATTAAGTGGATGAAAAGTACCATAATCGAGATACTTACTGGGCGTAGTTTAAGCCAATTCAAATAATGATTCAAGTTTCTTTTGACTTCAGGGTCTCTCTTCTTGATATTTCTGGCTTCTTCTCGATGAAACTTGTAATTGAACTGTATTACACACCTTGACGCTACTAAGTTAATCGAAGTCTAAGTCTATAAGTTTTAATGTATCGGTCTTCGTAAAATGTTCTCAAATTTTAAAACCTTTCCATGTTTCAGATTCCAAAGTGAATTTCGTTGTAAGACTGAATGCTACTGATTCAAGTGTCTAATTACAGACATTCCAAAAATGTCTCCCAGTTCTGTGAATCATGCTGCTCTCTTGGTAGTAACTTTCGTTTCAGTAGCGAAATGTCTCATCAAATACAATAGCGTCATCCTGTCGAAACCAGAGCATTATTATTTTGAAGAGGAGTTAACTGCGAAAGGCATCATTCCGGAGGTTGTGCCACGAGCACCGTTTAGAATAGTTTATGTGAGTACTTTTTCTTCAAATATTTAATCACAATGCTACGAGAATAAATTAAATTAAGCAAGGATCAGAGAATTTCTCCAAATGATTTTATGTCAATCGCGGAACTTTTTCTCCAAGCATGCAAGATAACATAGATGATAATAAAATCAGAAGAAGAGCTGTGCGATGATCTCTAAGCCTTGGAAATTCCAAAATCAAGAAAGCCGCAGAAAAAAATCAATATATTAACACTGCTCACAATACGCCTGATTTTCATTGGAATGAGTTGCATCATAGATCGTAAATGTCAACAAACCACAGTGTCTTATTCACATCATTAATTTCAAGTTCATCCGGTGTTTTTCCTACCGTATAATTAAAAAAAATCATGGCAGACAATTTGATGATAAATGTTTTACCCTGTATTTTTCAGCTTGAATATCTCAATAAAAATCATTCCGTTTTACCGGGCGCCAAATTTATGGTAGGACGACCAGACGGACCGGTTGCTAAGGAACCATATAATGTTACATGGGGAGCAAATGCAACTGATATATACACACTGTGCCTATTTGGTAAGACCCCTATCATAATTTCCCTCGAGGCGAATTTTGAAAATTTTCGTACTGAAATGTGATAAAACAAACCAATATTCATAATTCTTTAGTTTCACGTTTCACCATATCAGTAGAGATCCCATTATTATACATTATTATACATTATTATAATTATGTAGAAGCGGCACGCCGCGCACAGATACTATGCCGCACCTTGGGTATAACAGTAACGTGAGGTAAACCAAAGTGCCTTCATTTTCTCCGAATGCAACCGTTGCATCCGTTGAGCAGGAATAGTTGCGCTAAGGCGCCGTGAGATCACCTTTTTGTTCCATGTCTTATTTCTGATTATGTTATTCCTATTGTTTACAGCTGTCATATTATTGATTTTCTCGCTTCATTTGACAACACTTGGTGTTACCGGCGGGTGAGGCATGATCAAAGAGAAAGCTATATAATAATGAGTAATTTCTGTGATTTCAGATTTTGATGCCCCTGTGCGAGCAGCTCCAGTCTTACGGAGTTACATACATTGGTTAGTCGGGAACATACCTGGAGCAGGCGTGAAAAATGGAGAGACATTTTTTGAATATTTTCCTCTGAGAGCCCGTGCTGACACAGGTGAGTCTGCCGTAAAACGCAAAAACGCAGTAAACGACATTTTAAATTGTTTGGAAACAATGTATAGTATAGCGAAAAAACTTGTGTACTTCGGGACAGTATTTTTACAGAATTATTTCGCAAACACTATATCATGAAATTAACCTGATAATTTGAGGTGCATGAGTAAAACCGTTTTTATTTTATGTGTATTAACTGTTAAGTTCCAAAAAACGCGAGAATATCTTGATGGATTTACGGCGTTCTTGCTTAACACGGCAGAATATGTCAACGCCGCCGTGTTACGGCAGAGAGCCGTAAGTGAGCAACATTAGATATGAGCTTTGAGACACATACACGCAAGCACTAGTCTCGGCTTCTTCCGGAACACAACAAAAGGCGAGGACATTTAATTTTTAAGGATTGAGAATAGGAGATAGATGAAATTGCTGAACTTTATCAAACAACTAAATTGGCGGTCAAGGGATCACTCGATCCGGTTACAGGACATTTCGTCAACGATTTTTTGTCCGCGCACCTGTTTTTTCCAGTAATTTACGTCCACGCGTTTTATTCGGCACAGGAGTTTTGGTCCACGTGCTAGTTGAGACCCAAAGTTAATTGGCCCACATTTAAATACAAACGACAATTACTCACGACGTTTTTGGATGAAAATGTAAAATGTCTTGAAAGAATGAGGGTTTGCTTGTTTTTTTGTTTTGTCTGTTTGGTCCAACGGAGAATAATATTTAGTTGAGAGTTTTGGTAAAAATGGGGGAGCGTCAATTTCATGAGACAAAATTCACTAAAACTCTCTACACCTCTTTGGTGTAACAGGACTTAATTATCTTTCAAGATTTTCCTACCTTGTTATACCTGAACCGGATAAACCTCTATATTTGCCTCAGCAAAAGGCTCTTAGATTTTTCCAGTGTACGATAAGTATCTTGATTTATTCTGCGAGGAAGGATCTGTACTTTGAAAGGATGCCTGTCATTCTTAATACGTTCAATTTCGTACAATACTGTGCAACACCTCTGTTGTGAAATAGTTGCTTTAGGCGTCGCCGCACGGCGGCGGGCGGGCGGCCAGCGCGGAACGCGCATTGGCGCCTACAAACCTAAGTGGATACTGCAAGCACTGTGCAGTGCGTGAAGTATCCACTTAAGTTTGTAGGCGCCAGTGAGCCTCTCTCGCTGGCAGCACGCCGCTCCACTCTCTTAGGCTTTAATATTTATACTCGCATAGTCAGCGCTTTTTAACTCAGGGTTTTGAAACGTTTGCACACTCTGGATTGATTATTCTCATTTAAATTTATGGGGAAAAAATATGTATCAATTTATTAAAGGAAAATAATAATATAGTAAGTTTTTTTTAAATATTGGTGGTTCCGTGTCAAATTTAATGATTTCCAAAGCACTTTAATTTTTTCTTTTACATTTTGTGCTTTTATTGTGCTGCAGCGAGGTGTACGCGCAACCAAACGCTCAAAATTTGACGTATTTGACTCTAAAAGATCGATGTACAAATGGGTTAAAACTAAAGATTGCGTGCTTCTAGGTTTTTTTTCCTCTTTTATTCATTTTTGCAGTTTCTGTCGGCACAACTGCGGCTTATTGAGATTAATGTCGCTTGGAAAAGGTTTTACAAATATTTGTCACGTTTTAAAAATATAAATGTTTTCAAAATGAAGTAATAATTTCGTGAAGAAAAAATTAAAAAAATAAAAAAAAAGTACCTGTACATATGTAAGATATATTGTACATCGAATATTTTAAGGATAGAAATAAAACCAAATATTCACCAATGACAATTTAAAAAGATGATTCAAAAGGAGAAAGTAATAACATTTCATTTAGATAATGAGCGACCATAACAACACCTCCTTCTCTCTCAATTTATCATTTCAATATTGTCAATATAATTTTATATACCGACTAAAGTGGAGTTGGACCAAGTCACCATTGCTTATTGTACGTCTAGGCGTAAACTACTGGACAAAGAAGGTGCGCGGACAAAAAATCGTTGACAAAATGTCCTGAAACCCTCGATCCCCCCCACCCCCGATCATGCCCCGGCCTATTTTTTGAATAATGTAATGGAGACGTCCCACTAATCAAATGGCGGGAATTGAATTTGTGGAATATTTAAAAAGAACTTACCCCGCCAGTATGATACGTTGCAGTAGTTCAGCAGAAATATCAGACATTTCGAAAAATGAATAAGTTAAGAATAAAAGGAAACCTTCATGCTGTACATGTCTTTAAAAATGGGTATATTTATTACTCACATGGTGCCGAAGCTTTTCCGGTCACTTCTACCCATCATCAGGGCATTGAAGTACATATGTGTGGTTTTTTATTTTTTTTTTTTTCTGTTGTTTTATGGCTTTGTGTCTAAGCACCTGCAGCCAAATATGTGTGGTTACAAATTACAACACATTACATACACTGAAAAAAAAACACTAAACACTCTACAAAAAGAAGCAAACAAAAGAGGCAAAAAAGCAAAACATATTTTATGCAATATGTCATTATCATATAACGTAGGGTGACTTTATAACGTACGAACATTATTAGCAGCATCGCGATAAATGGACTTTTCCTGAAAAATATAATTTTGATCTACAGGGACTCATAGATACGTCATGCTCATTTGGAGGCAGCCAAAAATCTTGGAATTCAAAGAACCGTATCGCAACGGAACGTGAGTATATTATATTAGTTCTTCCTTTTTTTCTGGGTCTAAAGCATTATAAAAACGACGATTCAAGCAGAAATTGCCGACAGATTTCTGTAGGTACTCAGAAATTGAATTCTGAGATCGCAAGGAAATTATGTTGATAAAAACTTAAAAAAATGTAATGAGTACAAATGTCGATGTTTGTCGTCTCACTGACGATGAACAGCAAAACGGGTAAACTGAAATGAGTATGGAAAAGTCACTTTCAAAGTGGGTTAGCTGCACCGGTATGTATATCTGTTCAGAAGTTCTAGAGAAAAAATTTCGAGCCGTATTTGACCCCTGCGCCATTTTCTCATTTTCAGAGATGAGGATGATCGTGTCGATTTCAGCATAAATGAATTTGAGAAGAAGTACCAACTGGAACCTCCGATCGCTCTCACATACTTCGAGTGTGAATATGATCACACGATTAAGAACCCACACTTACGATACGACGACGAGGAAGTGAAGAGGAAGAACGAAGAACTGAGGAAAAATGCGAAACCATATGACGATTTGACAGAATGGGTGGGATAATGTCGAAACTGTGATAAAAATTGTCAAAATATTTTTAAAATATATTCGAAGAAATACTTACAAGACAATGTTGTTTCAATATTGGCAATATTGCTGCAATATCTCGTGTTGGGCGGGTTTCTTATAAGCTTATGGCCCCTAAAATTGCATGTTCCTCCTGAGTGAGTATGCCCCCCAAGTTCGAATCATGTCAACTTGGTTCTCATCAGGTGAGGATGAATGAAGCATTCTACCTGAAAAATCACCAAAAAAATGCCTTACATGTAAATATACAGGTTGAAATGAAAAAAAAATCCTCAAAATCAGCCCATTTTTCGAAAAAAAGGGGGCTTGAGATCCTCGTACTGAAATAAGCGAGACCAAAATTTGACTCATATACTTGTTGATTTTATTATCTAACGTTACTCGGAATATTTAATGATATTAGTTTAGTTTATTTAAATCATGTAGATAAATACAAGAAATATTCTCGTAGTAGTTACATGGTACTTAAATAAAATAAACTATCCAAAAAAAGAAAAGAAAAGAAAAAAAGAAAAGAAAGAAAAAAAGAGTAGTAGTAGTAAAATAATTTTATTTTAAAGCGGTGCTTTAGCATCTAAGGCCATTTACACCTCTAAAGAGGGCAGTAACAGTAATAAATTTACATGGAAATATCAGTAAAAAGAAAGGAAAAAGAAAAGAAAGAAAAAAAGAAAAGAAAGAAAAGAAAGAAAAAAAGAAAAGAAAGAAAAAAAGAAAAGAAAGAAAAGAAAGAAAAAAAGAAAAGAAAGAAAAGAAAGAAAAAAAGAAAAAAAGAAAAAAAAGAAAGTAGTAGTAAAATAATTTTATTTTAAAGCGGTGCTTTAGCATCTAAGGCCATTTACACCTCTAAAGAAGGCAGTAATAGTAATAATAATTTACATGGAAATTAAGGTTACATCAGTAAAAATACAAAAGGGTTGAGGGGAAAGGTTAAAAAAAGAAAAGAAAGAAAAGAAAGAAAAAAGGAAAAAGAAGAAGAAGAAGAAGAAGAAGAAGAAGAAGAAGAAGAAGAAGAAGAAGAAGAAGAAGAAGAAGAAGAAAATTACTGAGGTCCATTAGCACCGGGCATTTTGAAAGGAGCAGAGGTTTTTTGAAAAAAAAAATTTGAAACACTAATGCAAGCATTATACTCGCATCGTTGAATGCGGAAATCGAGCGCAGAACTACTCAGACTCCAGAGTAGACTTGTGATGTGGTATCACCAAAATGAAGAACAATCTTTGCTTTTCACGGGTCTCAAATTACAGACGTTTATATGAATGTTCCCGCATCATTAAATTCTAAAATGAAGCGCGCAGTTATATTCGAACTTTGGAATGAGTATGTGATTTGGTATCACGTGAAAATGAAGGAAAATCTTATCTTTTCACCGGCCCCAACTTATTGTTAGTTCCCCACACATAGAGCAAAGAAATTCAGAACATAACAACTAATCAGGGTGGCGTGAAACATAAAATTGAATTGAAAGATAGGTTTCAGTGAAAAATTTCATGAAATTCCATGAGGCTGTGAAATATTTCATATTTTTCAGTAGCTAGAGTATGCAACCCGCACTCGAACACACAAAAATTGAAGAAAGTCACAATTTTTACATTTTGTACAACATGGAGGAGAACCGGTATTTTTCAATCTCTCACAAATTTCTGAAATTTTATGAAATATCTCACTAAAAATTTCAAGATTTTATTTCTCATGAAATTTTGCCACCCTGCAACTGATAACCGGATGGATAATTTATTTGGTCTACCTGACAACCCTGTAAGCGGTCATACGTAAACAAGGAAGAACAACAACATCGTCAACGCATCATGGCTTTTGCTTTTCTGGACAACGAATATTTGGGTTAGATAAGGATACATAGCATTCTTTTCAAAGTTTTCTAAAACTTGTTCATACTTTTCCTTAGTATTTTCGCAGTGAATTTGTGCATATACGAGTTTCCGTAACAATTCGGTCATCATGTCCGACTGGGAAACAGTCACAATTCTGAGGAAGAAGCCTCCAAAACCCTCTCAGTTGAAAAGTGAACAGGTGCGTATTATCACGTTTTTCGTGTCTGTTTACTCATTTTTTATCCACCAAGTTAATTTTTATCTTTCTTCCGCCTTCTGTATTAGAAATTTAACAGGGTTCTTTGTTTTTAATCACCGTAGGTTACGTACCGTAACCCCAGAAGTTCAGCAAACAGCCTAACCTAACTGCATCTCCGACAATCTATGAACTACCCACCGCTGAGTTCGTCTATCTCTCTAGCATTCCTCATGCACTTATTGTAACATTAGGTTATTTACTCCTTAATTTGGATTGTACATATCGTGTTTTTTCACTATCACAACCAACATTACAAATCTTGATTGGTACTAAAATATCCCAATCCCACCTCGCCTGGAAGTGATAACGAACCGTGTTCAGGTATCATTTTAGCAGTCAATTCGCAACTGCACTGTGTATGTTTACTTAAATTACAACAATGTTTTGGTTTCTAGTCATTAACTTCTGATTTTCCGTTTCCAGGCTGTGGCTCAAGCCAGACGCCAAGGTGTTCCAGTTGAGACTCAGCAGAAGTGTAAGTGAATTTTTTCCTTTTCTTTTATTCCAAAACCTTCACCAAATTAACTACCCTAACTCACTTACAAGCTCTCTTAAAATGACAGATTTTAGGAAATTGTCTGGTCAACCCATTCCAGAAGGTACTATGAAGGTATATTCTTCGTCCTCAAGTTTTCTATTTAAGAATCTCCCACTCTCTTAATTTGATCGCAAACTTTGTAGGTACAGTGTTACATGTAATTTATCAGTTTTACAAAAAAAAAAATTATCAGAAGCCTGACAATTGATCTCTGAAAACATGTTGTATTTAATCTTTGTATGTAACATGCGAATAAAAATAACTACCTAGAGCTCGCGTGTCCTATGTTGAGGCAGTCGTCAATCTCTGATTAGCTCTGAATTAGCACCACTCAACACGTTAAAACATGGCAGATGGCACCTCTGATGAGTGGTGACATAAAGAATACTTTGACATTTGTCTCAACATACAATGCGCGAGCCGTAACGTTCGTTTAATTAATACAGAATCTAGTATCGGCAGGAATATTTAAGTGTTCAAATTTCTACACCTGGGAAAATAAGTAAACCATAAATACCTGTAGTTATGTGTACGGCACAGAAAGTTCTTTGAAGCAAAAATCACCTGAAATCTCGGCCTTACAATTTCCTCTCTCTGCAAAAACATCAATAGTACTTACTTACCTACTTGGCCAGCAAAGAACTTTAAAAAAAATACACTGAAATCAAGGTGCATTTTGGTTTCTTTCCTTTTCCTCATTTTTTGCTTTCATAAAAGGAAACCTTCCATGCAAAAATTTCCTAACGACAGATTTCCGCATGACACTCCAGCATCTTCTGCACTTTTAGTCGCATATGCGGCAAAATAATCAGAAGTGAGGAGCACTCGCTAGATGATCCTCTATGGATCAATCTTAATTGAATCGGGATGTGCCAAAACCGCTAATGTCAATTTTACCAGTCTTGGGTTGTTTTGAGTTCATAATACTTCCAAAGAGCCGATACAACCATAAAAGTGATGAAAGGACTCACTTAGGGATGAAGGAAACACAAAGACGAGTTTTAACGCCTTTTTCATGGTTGCAACCAATTCTGAAAAGTATTATCAACTCAAAAAAACTTAAGACTGGACTAATGGACATAGCAGTCCCAATTCAATTGTACTGTAGGTACGCCACACTGTATTTCCACATCACTGCAGTCTTGCCTCTTTCCTCGAATTTCATGATTTTTTTCTCCTTTCAATCTACTTTCAGATGACTATTTACGTCTGCTTTTTTTCAGGGGGTGGAGGTCAGAACAAGCAACATGCCACTGTAAAGAATACGGCAAAACTAGACCGAGAAACTGAAGAATTAAAGCATGATACAGTACCTCTCGATGTGGGGAAACTTATTCAGCAGGGTCGTCAGGCTAAAGGTTGGAGCCAAAAAGATTTAGCTACGGTAAGTAATATCTCTCATATTTTATTTTTAAAATTCATCTGAGAAATAAATATGCTTATCTAGGGTCCCAAAATCCACATAATCAAATCATGAAAAAAATGGGAGCCTAATACCCACAAATGAGCATTGGATCAATGTTTTCTGAAATCAATCGTACAAATTATCTAACACATTTCAGAGAATTATTCCTAAAACATTATACAACTTCTGTAAAATTTTCAAAAAAAATTGTAGCACTGGCCTCCTGTGTAAAAAATTGTCTCAGGACTTTTGGCATTAACTGATGTATTTTGATTCCTTTTTTGCCAAACACGTTTCATGCCCTTGGAGAGCCCTTTCCTCATTGTTCTTGAACTCATTGTGAAATATTCCTGTGAATTTCATTCTTAATTGACCAATTTGTTCCCTTATTTTTTGCAGCGAATCAATGAAAAACCTCAAGTCATTCAAGAATATGAAGCAGCCCGTGGTATTCCAAACCAAACAGTCATCAGTAAAATTGAGAGAGCTCTAGGTAATCAAAAATTTTGCATTATTTTTCTGCAATACCATTTTACTTATAAGCAGGAGTCCAGAAAGTGTGCCATCTCGCAATCCTAGGATCTCAGCAAATGTGAGGCAATTTTGAAAAACAATGACTATCTTGGAGGGGCAAAGAGGCAAATAAAAAATGTGACTTGAGAAGAATAAATGTTTGATTGCAGCGAATGCTTAGCATTTTGGACCTTCCTGCACCCCTGCTTATAGAATAGGTATTGACAAGAATGTTATATTGGTCCTCAAAACAAATTAATCATAAATTAAATCATATTGTGTGATACTGAAATGAAAATATATCCCTTGGTATCCATACAGGAAAAGAAATCTGGATCATTTTTAATGAATCCCAAGACAAAATTAAAAAGTACCAACCCACTAATTTTCCTATTTTTGTTTCTTTCTTTCTTCTTATTATTTTTGAATTTGGACTTCTTGATGGAATTATTCATGAAAAAGATACTTAATTCGGAGTTTCCTTTAGCCTCGAAAGTCAAGGAATCTCATGTGTGGCGCACGGGCTCTGCAACTTCAGCCAGTGCCAGAAAGGGAAAGCAACTTTGGAGAGCCACTTTCCTTACTTGAATCTCCCAAAGTGTTAATTTCTTCTGAAATCGAGCAAGAGCCAGCTTAATACTAAGAAAAAAATCTAACTGAATGTTTCGTTAATAGGTTAGGGAAAAGAAAAAATTTAGAGAGAGTAAGAGAGTGGAAAATGAAGAAATTGTAGAACCCCTGTTTATTGCTTGTTTTCTAAGTAAATAAAATATCCTAAAATTAAAAGTTACAAAACAAGCATATGCATTGCACATAGTAGTGGATTTGACCTAAGGCTTGTAGTTTAAATGTTAAATGTGACTGTATTCAGTGCTGAAGCATTGCTGCCAACAGAAGACAAAGTGTTTAGGTTGCTAGCCCTTGAAGTTCCAAGTATCATATCAGTCTTACTCTTCATTCCCAGTGGCTTCTACAACTTGAAAAACATGTCATTGGGTCAAATTACAATTTTTTTTCCTCCACAAGTCATTGACCTACGAGTAAACTATTTATCTCCATTATTTTCTAACTCTTTTCATTGTAAAATTGACACCTTCTCTTAATTTTCTAGGAATGAAATTACGAGGCAAGGATCGTGGTAAACCAATGGCGCCACCTGGAAAAAAGTGATTTCTCAAAGGGTTACTTCAAAATATCTCTCAACAACATACCCAACCTGTGACTTTACACCTTATCTTTTCGTTCAAAAGGAAATCCATGCTCTCATATCCATCCTCAATCCGTGAAGTTTTTTTGAATCATTGATCCCCTAACCCTCTTTCCCTCTATTTGTATTCTCTGGTAGGTTTCACTTCCTTCGATGAAGCATAATGGAATTACGATTTTGGTGAAAGCTGTAACTGAAATTTACTGTCGAAAGAAATTCAGTAGTGTTTTTTTTTTTTCTTTGTGAAGGATACAGATTCTAAGTTACTTTTTTTGGTAATGATTTTTTTTCTTCTCCCTTTTTTATGAAGGTTGACGAAATTTCATGAAAGAGCCCCTTATTGAGTCTAAACCGACGATCAATTCACTTTTAATAAACTTGAAACTTCGGCAGGCATTTTTTACTGTGTTGATGACATCTCATAATTATTTTTACTATTATTTTATTCAAAGGATAGGTATGTAAGTAGTTAATGTTGGAAAGAAACTGGTGAGAAAGGAAAGAGAGAGAAAAACTTGTTGTCTGCACCTAGGAACAGAAGCATGTCAACACTTGCCATTTGCTCCAGGCAAATTTAATAATTTAAAAAATGAAAGATTTTTGCAGTAAACTCAAGAATTCTCACACCCCTCAACACATCCAGTAGTAAATTTTACTGTCCTAAATTATGAATGAAATATTAATACTCATTTGTTTTGTATGTTATTAGGTCAAGACTGGAGCATGATTTTTGCTCCTATCGTAAATTTTTCAGACTGCTTTGCTCAGTTCCAAGTCAAAAGCACAAAAGTTTACTGCCTCGCAAGAGAAACACGCTGTATGAACATTTGAATGTTGCCAAATTCCTCCTGATAAAACATTTATTTTTGATGAAAGTTATGAATTTTCTCCTTGAAATTTTCAGATACTCAAGCTGAAACTGCAAATAAAATTCTTGCCAAGGTTGGAAGGCAAATATTCCCAAGTTTCCTCATAAATTTGCATTACACTGGGGGAAATTTGGCAACGCCAAGTCCATACAGTATTTTTCTTTAGCACAGCAGTATAGCCTCTACACATTTGGTAATTACAATTAGTCTCACGAATGATGCTGCCAAACAACTTACATACATCTGAACATTACAACCCCCCCCCCCCTCCCCACGTTTTCATCATTGAGTTTTAGAGCATGTTTACGTGTACTTATCAAAGAGCCTGAATTTCTTTCGACGTACTAAGAATAAAACCTTTAATTCTAAGAAAATATTAATGTGGAGGCCAGTCATGTCCCACTTTTTCCTTTTTGTACTATTCTCTTTGTTTAATATTTATCTTTTTTATTGATATAGTTTGTTTTCATTTTGGTGTCAGATATTAGCATGTTAGTGTATGATAAAACCCTAAAATCCTTTTTTTCTGACTTTCAACGTCGAAGTCTCGTGCATTTTCATATTTGAAGACATTCACCAAAATACCAGTCACGTAATTATTATATGATTTATAAATATTTTGCCAGTTATTACTGTGTGTGGTCCTGGGCAATTTCAGAGAGAGCCTATCAGACTTTTTCCATAATAAACCTCATCTAATCTATTTCTAAGGAATATTTTTAAGACCTCTGAAGTTTTGGAAAGTAAGAAAGAAAAACAAATGTGCACAGCAAATTTTTCTTGCGTTCAGACAAAATCAAGTCTGCTGTCAAAACAACCACCACAAAGAATCATTTTAAATATTAATAAGGTATTCTTTTATTTATACTCTTTTATCATTTTGGAGACACGCATAAGCATAAAACGCATAAGCATTCAGACAGCCAAGATAAGCTGGCTTTCAGCATTGTTGTGAAAATTTTCCTTAATACTTTGTCTCTTCAATTCAATTTGTCTTTACACCGCAGATTTATGAAGAACCATATCAGCTGGGTCATATATATGTACTTCTCCATCTCTCCAGTTATTTCGTGATTACTTTAAGTTTTTGTGTGATAAGAATAATTTTATTTTGTTGGACCACTGTGTTTTCAATTTCTCATTAAATTAAAACTTGATTGTATGCATTGGTCGGTTAAAATTTTAGTTCTTATTTCTCATTTCTGTAGTTGCTCCTCTCTTTAGTACAACGCATGTTAGGCCTAAAATGTACTAGCGAGTCGATTCCACGATAGGAATTTAAGTTGGGAAGAAAAATTATCGGAATATATAAAGAGATAGTCGTTCTCAATTTATAATTTGTGTATTGTAAAGTAATGGTAGAACCACAAAATCTCACATCTTCATGCTACATTGCAGAATTAGTGTCGTATTTATTTTTTTGGAGAATAACTGATCATCGTTTTTTTTAAGCAAAATTTCATGAGATCATTCTCTAAAATTTTTGCACAAAAATATGCGATCATGTTGTCTAGTAAAGGACGAATGATAATCATGAAAGATGAGGAAGGCAAAAGAAGATAATAAGAGAAGGAATATACAGCTGCCTACTTGTCTTTTTTTGTGAGTTTTATCTAAAATTGAGGCTTAAAAACAACTTAAAGGAGAGAAATCTTGTAAATCATGAAAGTTATTCACTCATTTTTACCTGAAAAAACTTAATCCTGAGATCAGAAATAGAACTATTTATGCTAAAAAAAACTAGAGACAGTTAAGAGAGATGGGGTGTGCTCGTGGCAGCTACATAAGATAAAATGTGAAGATGGGCGTAGGTCTTTTAGGAAAGTGGAAAAGTGGGATTTTTCATTCCATCAAAAGGAACTAAGTGCCAAAATATGCAGCTTTCATGAGCCTTGGGTATGCGACCGGAGCATTTTGGACAGGGCTCATGAGTTAAAAATCACCTTACTCTAGTTCCTATTTGCATAAATACGTCCAAATAGGAGTCTCTTCTTCCATATTTCAATTATAGTAAATTATTTTCTTTTAAAATTTCAGTCGAAAATCCGTAGAAAGTGGTGTCAATGCAATTGGGAGTTGCTAGACTACAGAAAAACTTCTAGGTGCCTTTTCATAGACTCATCCATGTGTTTGTTGATCAAACTCATAGAACTGAAAACGTTTTCCACAGGTATGAGATGTACATCTCATTTTATTAAATTTTTATTTTAAATTAATGGATAGGATTTTTCTCTCAAAAGGATTGCAAAAATTTAAGTTGAATAAAAAATCTGTATCCTTGATATAAAAATTTTACTTTTCCAACCTTGAAAATATTTTACAAGATAACATTAAATGTGAAAAAATGTATTTAAAAAAGGGGGCCATAGTTATATAAACAAAAAATACAAATTATTGTGAAATTAATCTTTCCTAAGTTCAAGCTTTTCTTCTCGAATGCCTTCACGGGTTATAATGTTGATGATGATGCTGTCACCCGTGTAAATGTCTCGCTCTGTTGCTGAAATGAAAGCATCTTTTACGACATTAAGAGCTTTCTCCAGAGTTATAGCTTCAGGTTTTTCCTTGATATTCGAGAGTCCCAACTGCAACAGAGAAAGGATGACAAATCTGATCAAGAGGATAAAATTTTCGGAAAAATAAAGAAACCAAAGTTTCCAATGTAAAACTTATTTCCACCGGAAAGCAGATTGAAATGCATCGACATTTGATTGATAAAAATGTCTCAGAAAATACATGATTTTTTACTGATAACTTGCTATTGAAAATTTTTGGAGGACGATTTTTCTTCGCCACTTCAATATTTATTTCTTAGTAACAATTAAATAAAAAGAAAGATTTGAAAGATGAAAGAAATTATGACTTAGAATCTTTGATGAGTCCATATGGTAGACCCTAGAACATGGTAATTCTTTCCTTCTCATTCATCCAGAAAATGAAGCGGGAGGATGTTTTGCTGTCAAGGGAAAGACTTCTTCACATACATGATACCTATAAGAAGCATAGCTAGGCAGTGGATAGCAGCCGATCAGAGGGGTTGGGGAGGAGGATAAAAATTAGCTTTTCTTGGAGAACCTGAATTGAGATACATAGTTGGAAATCAATGAAAAAAAATTTATTTGCAAAAACTGCAGGTACTTCATTCTCTAAGAGCCGCTTTCTCAGCACACTCTGGTGCTCTACGACGCATAACCACCATATCCCCTTATCGTCACTTGGCCCTTACCAAAGTTTTTACTTCCTCATTTTTCATAAGGCCCTTCGAAGCCACTCTTTTACTGGGCGGTGTCCCCTTCACCTTCTTCCAGGAAGAACCTAACCAACCATCTTTTTGGGCAGTTTTTCTTCTGATATAGGATTCTGGACTAGTTGCTCTCAATACATGAAACAACTTGTGGTCCATTATAGTGCTTTGGTAGACATAATATTGTTATTTAACGCTCTACTTGTAAAAAGATCCTTTCCTTTTGCTTAATTAATAACACACAATCAATTTTATTATTGTGCAAGGAAAAAGCAATTAGCTTATCAATAACAGAATTTTATAAGACTTTAACAAAGGTAAATACCTGATTATCTAACACAGGCTGCAAAAGAGCGCCGGAAGATCCTCCAGCTTTGAATTTGCTCTTTTCAAGATTGCCAATGGGGTCATAGCTGTACACAACTCCTTTGCCATCATTATCAAAACCAGCTAGGATATTCAAGATATAATACGGGAACAAACGTTTATAGTAAAGCATGGTGGATAACATCTGCGAGATTGCAGGGGTTGACATCACTTTCTGATGCTCATGTAAGTACATCTGAAAACAGATAAACATAATTTATTGACAGCAAAAATTGATAGAACATTTTCCCGATGGCTGAGCCATTCAGTTAACATTTTTAAGGCTCATTATGAGTTATGACAGGTTATTTGTTTATTCAGGAGTTGTTGAAGACTAATGAGGGACAGTGGTGGATACAAAGCGATACGTACAAGGAAGCATACCTTGATTGCAGTACTTCAAAATTTCCCCTCCGATTTATTTTATTGTTATTTTCTTTTTATTATTTTATTTTTTATACATAAAAGCAAACCAACTAAAGTACCTTTTATTTTCATCGAGTATTTTTCAAGAGCAGCATAAAAGTTATAAAAATATTTGCAACATGGCATTGCTTGGTTTCCCACAAAATACAAATAAAGTAGGTTTGGAAATGGACAACATCATTAATTGATTGGCAAATTCTCATAGTTTCACCATTGAAAAGCTCAGTATTTTACAACTTAAAGGACGTGAAAAAGTTGATTTGATGAGACAAGAGGTGGGTGATAAAGGGGATCAAACAAGTCAAGGTGAAAGTTTCAAGTATTAGTAATGGGTCTATGAAGGGTAAAACTTGGCTTCGAATTGATTAAAAGTAGATGAGACATCGGATTGAACTGACTGCTTAACCTACATTTTGAGCATTTCTCTGCCTGGGATTTTTATTCAAATTGAAAGAGAAATGTAAGGTAGATAATCGTGTTTCTGTGTGTGAAATTTTAATGGATACTTATTCCAACAATTAAAATCATTGTTTTGTGAGCCTGGACTGTTAACATCAGTTATTTAAAATTGTTTGTTAAACTGTTTCATTTAAGTCTTTTTACATGATTAATGATCAATTCATAATATTCTTACAAAAAATCTTCATCATTCTTGATGGTTCTGGAACCACATTCTCGGCTATGATAACTGTGCACTTATTGTACAATTTTACCATTAATTAAATTTAACGCCATACTCCATAAAAATTCATCCACCAAGAACTTTACCTGCATTCTAGCTTCAAGTAACTTAGTGAGAGAGAGAACATCACACCAACAACCGCAACATCCAAGAACGGAATCGTTGGAGAGCTTGAATAATTTAGATTGGTCTCTTGTATAAATAGAATATCCAGTGCTTAACCTCGAATCAGAAGCTATAACAACATAATCGTCCCCTGCTACAGCTACTATACTCCTGAAAAATACACAGATAAATCAGCAATATATAATTTGACCAAACTTCTTAATACATGAGGTGCATAATAGATTCTTCAAGACCATTTGAAAACGAAATTATTCGAAACCAAATGTTTGAGGGTATTACAAAATTGGAGTTACCAAAACACATGCGTTTATACTTATGAATGCATACTTCATTCACAATACTTAATCGGTAATTTCTTGAATGTGTTAAGAACCGTTCGGCAAAGAGAGAAATATCTGTCATGGGACAGTTTTTTTTGACAACGCAGCTTGAAGTTCTTGGAGTAAGGTTCTCCATTTCTATGTTTAAAACTGGTTCAGGGACTGTACGTTAACATGTGATCCAAAATCGTAAGTTCAATCTATCTGAATGACCTGATATACAAATTGTATCAATGAATTTCAGACCATACACACAAACAAAACACGTATCTGTGAGGTTTGGAGAATAACGATGAAGGCAACGCAGCCATGGTCCAGCAACACATAGCAAACATGAGCACTGGAAATGGGGGTGCGACTCATTAAAGGTTCAATTCTAAGGTTCAGTCTGGTGATAGGCATGTTTTACAGAACTGTTTGGTGGAGACTAGTGCTCCATCCACTTCGGTCTAAAGAATTTTATTTCATTGGTAGTGCAGACTCTTTCTTTTAAGAGGTCAGATGTTTAAGCTTTGATTATACGCCTACCTTCTTGGAAACCTGCACGCCTGTCAGCAAGCACACAATCTTTAAGGTTTAAACAAATAGTAAGCCCATTAAAAAAAGACTCAAAATTTCCTAGACGTGCGGCAAAGAAAATATAATTGAGACTACATGAATAGTTACAGCGGCAATGGGAAAAAAATGTTTATGACATAGCATGTTTCACTCAGTTACGATACCCGGAGAATCAATGGATTGCGAGATACATACCCTCCGTTATCAGCGTATGGAGAAAAACTATGTTGATTCAAAGCTGCACTCGAGTTTTTCAACACAAGAGCCATAATTTTAGGATTGATTTGAAAATTAATTTAACAATTAAATATCCAATCAAGAGTTCGGCAGAAGATAACGGAGTAAACAATGAAAACTTAACCTCAAAAAATTATTGCAAGCTCATATTAACAGTGATGTCGGCTCAAAAGTTTTGAAAAGTGAATGATTTGATATTAGACTAAGAGAGAGGAAATCAAGAGGAATTGTCCTTTCAGATATTTCACGCGGACTCAAATATAGTTTTTCAGAATTATTAGATCAATTTCATTTAATTTTCTAAAATCTCGAAATTATGTTTCTTTGTGCATTTTCTGTGCCGCTCTGAGGCATCCTGAACAATTTGGCGGGACATTTAAAATTCATGGAGTGGCCTCGGAGACTCCGAAAGCACGTACATCAAAATGCGACATTGCAAATATTCTCTAGTTTTTTTTTTTCTCTTTTCCTTTTTGACAGACCAAATCAACATATTGTTATTTTTTTAAATTTTCATTTGATTTTCTCGACCCTGTCGCGATTATTCCATGAAAATGTCAAGCCGTAATATCCGCTAGTTTATCCTCACAGAAATAAAATAAGGATGGAAATTCGACAGATGTTCTCGCGATTTAGCAATCGAGGCAGACTCTAGACGAGCCTGAAAAAATGAATTATTATAAAATATCAAATCTGATATCAACAGGGATCGAGCCAATGCTAGTCTTCACTGAAAAAAAATCTCGGTGTATTTACTAAGAAAGGGGTAAAATTACCAAGAATTCAGGGTTCTATTTGATCCCAGTTTTTTCTTGGTAAAATTACCATTTATGGAATTGGTAATTCAACCGAGAAATCTCGGTAAAATAATTGAACTTTCTCGGTAATTTTACTGGACCTTGGTAAAAACGCCAATATTTTTTATCGACTGTGGTAAAATTACAGAGTCAAAATGGCAAATTTACCGGGAATCGATTACCAACAAAAGTGGTATTTTTACCTGAAAAAATCAATAAAAATACCGGTTTTTAGGTAAGCTTACCAGTCTGTCTTGGTAAAATTACCAATAATTGGTAAAAAAAAGTGAGATGGTAAAGGTACCAACGGACCTTGGTAAAAACGCCGAGATTTTTTTTTCAGTGTTTCGTCATCTAAAGTCATTATTCCTGACCAAAAGTAGGTAATGCACAAGATCTTGCCGCGAACAAAGTAGGTATGCAGATTCGTTGAGATCAGAAAAAACACTGCAGAGCCAAATCTAGAGCTTCTAGAGCCTGGTGAGAGATTGAATTGGACGTATTTATACGAAAGGGAACTAAGCGCCAAATTTCCAAATTTCAGTTTTTAACGGATCTGGATTCTCCATGTAATAGGCTGCTCTCACACGTAAATATGCCCCCAAAATACTAATTTCATCCCCTGGAATCAGCCCCTGAAAAATCGCAAAACAGGGAATCAGCGATTACGAATAAAATCAAAAGGAACTATATGTAATTCCCTTTGATTTAATGCGCTAACCCGGATTCCGAATTAAATCAAAAGGCGCTATCTCCACTTGATTGACGCGCGCGCGGCGAGGCTTGGTGGAAACTTGGTGAAATTTAGTACCGGGGGGTATTTTTGGACGGGAAACTCGAATTTCGGGTCAAATTTTGGAAATTCAGAAATCCAAAATGGCGGACATGGCCTAAAATGCTATCTCGGCCCCTATCCAGCTGATCTTGGTGAAACTTGGTATCAGGGGGTATTTTCGGACGGGAAACTCGAATTTCGGGTCAAATTTTGAAAATTCAGAAATCAAAGATGGCGGACATGGCCTAAAATGCTATCTCGGCCCCTATCCAGCCGATCTTGGTGAAATTTGGTAACAGGGAGTATTTTCGGACGGGAAATTCGAATTTCGGGTCAAATTTTGAAAATTCAGAAATCCAAGATGGCGGACATGGCCTAAAATGCTATCTCGGCCCCTATACAGCTGATCTTGGTGAAACTTGGTATCAGGAGGTATTTTTGGACGGGAAACTCGAATTTCGGGTCAAATTTTGAAAATTCAGAAATCCAAGATGTCGGACATGGCTTAAAATGCTATCTCGGTCCCTGTCCAGCTGATCTTGGTGAAACTTGGTATCAGGGGGTATTTTCGGACGGGAAA